ATTCACTTGTTTTACTGATATTCTGTAGAAGCAACCTCAAAATAAAGATGAAAATGCACAGCCAAAACAAAAGAAGAAAACAAAAGAGGTAAGCTAGACCTCAGATTTAGAGTTTAGTATATAATTTAACTGGATTTCATTGATTGTATGAATGACGTTGTTCGTACCATGAACGCGTTGACACCGCGATGCAAGCCAAACTTAACATTTATCTTTCTTTTACTTTAGCCGGCAACTGTTATTGCGCAATCTAGTCCAGGAAAGACTGAGTCAAGCCATATTGAGTCCGGTCGTCCTAAAACACCGCAACACGCAACTCTAAACGATAATCCTGGTCCATCAACGGCAACGTCTCCACACACTCCGCGCAGAAATCTTGTATTCAACAGTTTGCCAGGTGGTTTAACGGTCTCCCCGCTAGGTGTGCCGCAAAACTACAGTCCAATACGGACGCCACTAGGATCGCCGCATCAGCATTCTCCCGTCCAGAGCATCAGTTTTTGTTCTTCGCCACCATACCTACCCAGTTTGTCATCTCTATCATCGGTTTTGAATACGCCAACTAATCCTCGTGATCACTCGTTGAAAGACATTCTACTACGCATAGAAAGCAAGCTGGATGTTCTCGCCCGTGTTGAAAACAAGTTAGACATGCTACTTGAAAACCAGTCGACAACTGTCCGAGAATCCCCGCCCCAATCGATGCCTTCTCCTGTTCATGTACAACAGGAAACCCCATTGATAACCAGGACGAATGAGGGTGCCACTTTTTCTCCAGCTGAAATTCGCTCTCTCGCATCGTCACACAAAAACTTCGCTGTTCGAGTTTTGAGGGAAATTTGTACGCAAGAAGAAATGAAGGGGAGGAACATTGCTGGATGTCGTGGGAAGCAGGCAATTGACAAAAACAAGGTACAAATGATCCAATGCCTTGTTAAAGAGTATTATCCGGTGGCACCAGCAGAAGCCCACAGAACCTGGACTGAATGCAGGAAAGCTATGGACTCATACCTAAGGCGACTCAGTAGCAAAGAAAGTTAATATCACTTGTAAAATTATCGTTATATTCTCGGTGCATTTCATGTTATGGCAATCCTATTTATATGTAAATACTTGGCCTATTTAGGTGTTTTAGCATTTGAAGTTTAATACACAAGACTAATAAATTCATTCTTGATTAAAACTGCTTTGTTTAATCATTGCCATTAATTTTGCGAGGCGCATGCAGAAACACGATGTAAAGAATTGTTATGTTTTGTTGATGTTATTTCCTATACATTTTTATTTTCCCAAAAGTATTGAAAGATATTTTCCGTGAATGACTTTAGTGAAGAGACTTAACCCATATAAACTTTAATCGATCATAAACGCTCCACTTGGCGGGAATCGAACCACGTGAGAATCAAGCGTGACATTATACAAGTCGATTTCCAACATGTTATCAATCACTTCTGAAGCTTGAAAAGGTCAACATTTATACCCATAAAGACCATAAAGATAAGGCTTGTTATTTATCTTCAATTTGAATCTATTCGAGTTGAAAATAAGCTAATATACAGAGTATAATTATTTGTTCAGAATCATGTAATAAAGAAAGATTACTGAATAAATTATCGCCGGTTGTCTTTTACTTCTTGTGCTTATATATAACTCTTTCTTTAATTGTAGAAGGTTCAGTAACGGAGTCCGAAAGGAAATCAGAATATCAAATCATGTGTTTTTTACATTCAATGAAATGTCCTAACTGTTGTGTTTTTAAGCTATTTAAAATTCCTACAACGTAAACAATTAAGACAAGCTTGCATAATATAAATATTGCACTTCAGTTAAGACTATCGCGAATGCCTTGATCAAAAAACAGTCGTAGTGCTATTTAAGAAAATTTCAAGTAAAACAGCCGAGTTTTCAACAAAATGAACTAGATACAGCAAACCATAATAAACTGAACTGTAATAAACCAACTGCGAATATGATGTGCAAGCTGTAAATTCTTATAATCAATATCGACGTTTGTGGAATCGATCCTAGTCGAATACTTCGCGTTTCAAAGCCCGAAACAAACGGCTTTAAAATCAGGGGTAATTTTTTAGTAAAAAGATAATTCCTTCAAACCTACAGAAAAATCAAAGATAACAATTAGAATTCGCCTATGAATTTTCCGAAGTACTGTGACATATACTTTAGCTG